GAAAAAACAAAGCTAAAAGAGGAAATAAAAAAGACAGAATAGAAACAAAAAGACTTAGTACAAAAAACTTATACTTAGTCGAATTAGTAAAAATTATATATAATATTAACACTATATTATATATCTATAGTATATCTCTTCACATGTCGATGAAGTATCAGTTTTCAAATTAGAAATCTATGTGTTGTTTGTTTACTCCAATTATGTCTGGATCAGTTGATTTAACTAACTAATCCCAAAAAAGAAAGTTGCACCAATGCTGATCTTCTTACAGAGGGAAACCAGATTTCCTACTTTTTAAAAAACAAAAAAAGCAAAAAGGAACTGAGTAATATAAGGAAGTCCAGGAGATAAGTTTTCGTTAAGCAATCATCTAGTAACTTAAAGGAGTGTAGGAGTTTGTATTTGTAGAATAATATATACAAGCAAGAATTCTGCTTAGATAGTTGTCTAAGTGATACTTGACAAATACTTCCAGCTGTAAGCCAACTATAATAATAGTTCTTTAGTCTTCTATTAAGGAGCCAAGGCTAAGACATATCTATTTTATCTCTCTTTTAGTTAGACCTAAATTGAAACTCTTGTTCTTAATCGCTATAGAAAAGTTTTGTAGTTACTCTTACTATATTAACTACAAATTTACAGTTCAGTTTTGTGGAAAAAAAATAGTACAGGTGATCGTCAGGAAGAGTTGATGCTAAAAACTTTTTTGATTATATCAGTAATTATTTAAATATTATAATTGTTTTATTATTAGTATTGTAATTAATACTTAGATTATATTTAAGTTATTAGTTTTATTATAGTATATTTAATAGTAAAGCATAGAAGAAACTCGTATCCGATGGATTCCGAAATCATGGTTATACAAGGTTATTTATATGGCCAATTGAAAAATTGATATACGATAGTAGTCTAAAAACTGGAATTTTCACAATCTGTTTAAACATAATAAGTTTCAGTAAATGTACTTCAATCAATTAATAAAATATCTTCACTAAGTATGCCTTTAACAGAAAATTTTTTTCAATCATTTTCAATCGCTTTCACCAGAAGGTTTTCATAGGAGCGAAAGTAGATACTTATAAATTATAGGTTTTGTTTATTTTAATGTTAGTAGTTTATTTAATATCTAATGAAAATAATCCGATTGAACCGTAATTGTAATATATTAGATATGTAATATATACTAGTTACAGTACCTTCATTACAGATATGCACCCTCTCGTTCCAGGATCTAACAAACTGACTACTATTGTATGTATTTATTAGCTGACTTTTTTTTTCAAGAGCAGTATTTTTTGCTCTATGAAAATTGATGTGTCTTTCTGTGTTAGTAACTGATTACTAACACTTTACTTTTCTTCATTTAGGTTTTATCTCAATTTCTTTGGTGGCTATAATTCTTTTATCTTCTATAATAGTTGAGCTCACAAAGTTACTAGAACATTTATTATTTGTTTTTCTGGGAGTATAATTTTTCAGATTTATGATCTCTTTATTATTGTATACCAAACTATGTACTAATATTATTTCTTCTTTCTTATCCAAGTTATCTGTCTTTCTTAGTAAGCTTGGTCAATAATATTTCCTTGGTGATCTTTTACTGATTTTGTTTTTTTTTACTTATAAGTAAAATTTACCTAGTCATTTCTTTTTGATTATTAGTAACTTTTTTTTTT